AAATACATTCAACATCCTCTGGCTTCTTCACGCATATACATGGATGGACACAGGCACACATACACAAAGCATAAGTGACTGGGTAGAAAGCACGAAGTCCATCAGTGGAGTGGACAGACTCATGTTCCAGCTCTCCAGAGCCTAGGGGTTTATGGTTCTGACCACACAGCCAACAAGGAAAGGAAGGCTGTATGACCAACACTACTCTGCAGAGCTGTGGCAGTGTGTTTACCAACACCCTCAGAGTGCCTCAAGACAGTGACATTTCTGCTACTTCTTCCAAGTGGAGGCTTCTTCACTCACATGGAGTATGACACGGACATAGCCTTCCATCGTAGCATGTCAACTGTCTTGATGAAACAGGGTCACGTGGAGCTGGGAATCAGGAGCCTTTCCTGGGACTTACCCAATGCGACTGATTCCCAGGCCAAGATCAGTGGTGTTGAGAGGAAGCCACTGAGCGATGGACTACATTCACCAAATGGCTGAGGTTTTCTCCAGCATACCAGCCTGACAGCGCACCCACTAGTGGTGGGTGCCTCAGCAGTTATAAAGGATGTCATCTGAGGACATCAGAATCATTCTTGAACAGTCACCCTGGAATGCTAAACCGAATGAGATTTGGCTACCCTTAGCATTCAAGAGAATTGATTGGCAGCCACTCATTTTGGTTTCCACAGAAACAAAGTAAATTGAGCCCCTTTGTGTTAAAAACACCATGGGGAGAAAGATTAGGACTCCCAGCTCTTTGTAATGTTACGACTTACGATTATACAAATGCCCTACGGCTTTTAAAGGCATTTGTCATTAGAAATGCCCCAGCCATTGACCTCACAACTTGACCGTTTGCTTTAGTATGGCAGGTCATGGCGGATGGAGACAGTTACGTCCAACATCATGAAACCTCTTATGCCTAAAACGCAAGATGTTCCACTTGCCTGTCTCCAACCCTCACAGCACCTCTGAAGAGGCTGTGGGAACCGCTCCTAGGACCGGGACATCCCTCAAATATGGGTTGGCTCTGTGACCTGAATTGACAAAGTGCAGCAGAGGTCATGCTGAGTTCTGAGTGCAGAATTCGGAATCGCTGTGCTGTTTCCAACCCCCACTTTTCTGCCCTCTTGGAACAATGCCCTGAACCTGTACATCGTAGTCTAGGCTGCTGGAGGATGAGAGGCTATGTGGAGGGGAGCCAAGGTGCCCCCCATGACAAGCAGCAGTGGCCAGGTATGAGCAAGGGTTCTTAGAGGCTTTTGATCCCACTACCGTCCTGCTGAAATGATCGCAGCCGCACGAGTGATCTTGGAGGGTTGGCCCGTCTCACCCCAAAATGAAAGCGTATACTCAACATCAACATGGCCTGGGTTTTCACATGTGCGCGCATACACACACACACACACACACACACACACACACACACACACACACACACACCACACAGATTGTTAAGCAAATGGATGGAAAGTACAAAGAATCATGAGAAATAAATAATTATTATTACTTTTAGAGTTTGGAGATGGTTTGTTACATACCAACAGCTGTGACTAAAACAGTAATCCACATCAACTGTGGCGCTTGTGTTAACAAAAGCCCCAGACAGGGCATTTTGCTGTTTCACTGTATATTTCTTGGTGTTAGAGGCTGTCCTGTGTACTTCAGGACATTTAGTGACATCTTTGGTCCCTCTCCATTAGATGCTGGTAACCCACCCCTTCCCAACTTTGCAACTATCCAAACCTCAGATAGCCCCAGATGTCCCCAGGTGAGAACTTCTGTCCTCGAGTAACACTGATAGTCATGTACAAGAAGACACATACAAGGTTGTTCATTTATAGCAGAGAACTGGGGAAATCTAAATGTCCAGAAAGGTGGTTAGACAAACTTATTTGGAATAAATGCACTATTATGAAGAAATTAGAATTTCTGTGAACATACATCTCCAAGATAAACACTAAACAAGATGGAAAAGAAGAGAGGATATGCTTTTATGTTTGCATGAACACAATCATTAGATTCGGTTTCATAAATTAATACCTACAGGTTTAATAAATAAATGAAAGCTAGAATGGAGCAAAGTTAAGGGTTTTTTTTTTTTTCTTTGTATTTTAGGTGGTCTTATAGGAAAAGGGCAGGGCACAATCTTAAGACAGGTAAGGGCTCCTCCGGAGACAGGCCTGCTAGGTGCCATGTAGTGGTTGATTCGCCCTGTGGCTTTCTAGATTCCGTTTCTCAAATGATGTCATGGACAAGAAAGTTTAAGGATTAAGCAAAACTTAAAAATTCAGAGTTTAAAAGTAAAGCCAGGCGTGCCGCAGGCCTTTGAGGCGGGCACGGCCCAGCTCTTCCTGAGAAGTCAGGGGTCCCGTGATGCCTCAGGTGTGGTCCTAGCCGGGAGGGAATTCCTCCTCAGGGTGCTGGTGGCTGTGTTGGGCTGTCTTCATGCTTCCCCCTGACTGAAGGAGATGTGAGCTCGATTAGCAATCCTGCAGAAATGGTCACGTTGTACAGGAGATCCGTGGGAAACTACAGGGCAAAGGAATAAGCACCAAAGCAGCATTTTCCTCATTTGCTGCATGCTAGGAAGAAGCAGCTGCAGGTCGGAAATGCAATTCCTCACACCTGTTGAGCTGGTGGTATCCATCCTAAAGATCAGGAAACTGAGGACACACGTACCCAAGGACACAGCCCGACTCAGCCTGGCCTCTTAACTACAAAATTAGACTGGTGTGGTACGAAGTTTGGGACCCTTGTTTAAACGAATTTTCTGTTTGTTTGTTTGTTTGTTTGTGTTTATTTGGTGAGGGGAATGGGCCTGAGTACCTCAGCATTTATGTGGTGGTCAGAGGACAGCTTTCAAGGTGGGTCTCCCACCGTGGGGGCCCCGGGGATCAAACCCGGGTCGTTCCCCACTGAGCCATCTCGCCTGTCCAGAGACAAATCTGTATTTGTAAATTGGTGATTGTATCCATTTTATTTTGTTCCTGTTTTAAATGAGGACACGTATAAAGCTCTTAGTTCCTTTTTCTTCAGAAAAATAATCTCACCTACAGTCATGGCCGGAAGGACACTAGAAACCCAAAAGGCAATGGTATGAAGTAAAAATACTACACTTTCTCCAAGGAGGGTCGGGGAGGGGAGGCTAGTCCAAAAGTCTGACTGCTTACTCGGTGCGGTGATACTGTGCTGAGTCCTGGTCCTCGATTCTGGAAAGCATGCCTGATCTCCAGTCATAGCTTATCTTATGTAGGGGGACACAGGCATTATGTCATAGACGGTGTAGAATTTAAAATTCTACACCTGAGAAACAGTACAATAATAAAGACAACTTACATGTTTAAAACAACATTCTAAAATACCTAATTATGCATAGAAAATGAATGCAGTTCTCCATTACCTTCATTAATAGCTTATGGTTTGACAGTTCCAGGCCTGGAATCCCAGCTGTTCAGGAAGCAGAGGTGGGGGCCATCAAGATGGCTCCGAAGCTTAAGGTACTTGCTTGGCAACCTGAGTACCATGAGGGACCCACGTGGCTGGAAGGGGAGATTTGACTTTCTCAAGCTGTCCTCAGACCTCTACACATGTGCTATAGTATACACACATACCCCCACCCCACCCTACATACACATACAAAATAAATAAATGTGACTTTTTGAGAGAAAGGAAGCTGAGGTGGAAGGATCAATTAAGTTTTGAGTTTGAGAGCAGCCTGGATAACAACCTAGCAGGAAAAGACTCCATCTTAAAAAGCTAGCTCATGGCTCTGCTTACAGGAATGACAGTGGCCTCTGCTTGCATAGGACAATTCAGAGTGCTGGGGGAAGCGTGTGTTTAGCATTCACGGGGCCATAGGCCTAGCTTCCAACCACAAACATGGGGTACTAAGCAACGAAGACACAATTCTCGGAGCGTGTAGCTCTGCCGCTCAAAATCCTGTTAGACAGTCAACTAGTCCAAGGCAGTCCATTCTCTGGGGAATGTTACGACTTACATATGGAAAGTGATAGGAATGATAAGCTTCAGTGTGGCCATTTCCAAGGTGGCTTCTCTTGGGCTACACACTCTGAACAAAAGGACCTCAAGCCTGTCCCACACCCTCCTCTTGGCGTTTCACACTACACAGGAGCAAAGCGATGTAAGACCTTAAAGATCTTACAAGACCTTAAAATTAGAAACCTGTTTAATCCAGAGTTTAAGAATTTATTGGCAACTGAGTCATGTAGTAATTAAAAATTTTACATTCTCACACATATGTCATAAAGTATGTCATTTGCTGGTCTGTGTATTCACAGTGCCGTTTGGACATCAGCACTGTCTTTTCCCAAACGTCTTCCAGCCCCTAAAGTTTTCCCAGTGCCTTCTTTTCTATCCTGTTTATGATAGGATCTTGTGTAGCCTAGGTTGGCCTCAAATTCACTATGTAGCCCAGGCTTACCTGAATTTATCATCCTCTCGCAGTAGCTTCCCAAGTACTGGGTTACAGGCCTGAACCACCACGCCTGACCCAAAGTTTTCAACAAGCTTTTCATTGCCTCAAACACAAATCCTGCACCCACTCAGTAACACATCCCACCCATTCTTTTCTCATCCCCTGTTCTAGTCACCGCTATTTACTTTCTTAGTCTTTAAATTTGCCCGTTTTATGTATTCCCAGGAAGTAGAGCCACACAGTATTAGCCCTTTGGTGTCTGGCTTCTGCTTAACGTAAAGTTCATCTGTGTGGCGTACATCAGAACTTACTCTCTTTTATAGCCATGTAGTATGTGATTGTGTGTGCTTTTGTAACTCTTGAACACACGACAGAAATTCTGATAATGACATGAGTGTTAAAGTGACACTCAGCAGTGTGAGCCCTGGTTCCAGACTAGACGGTCTGTAACCCGAGGCACGACATTTCTCATGAGTGTCACTTGCTTTACCTCACGTGGGAATAATAATATTGTGCTCATCCACGGATAACTGTAAGAATTAAGATCACTTATAAATCCCTTAGTAAAGTGATTTGGTCTATAGCAGATACCCAAGGGGTACTCATCTCGCTTATATTGGTAGAAAGACAGTGGGAAAAAGTACGTATGTAATAGACTGTGAATTTATGTAGCTTTATAACTAGCTCCAACCTGTCGTCCCAAGCCCTGCCCAGTACAGTAGTCACCAGCTACAGTACAACGTGAGGAGTGAGTGTGACATGTGTCTCCTGCCTGGGGCGTGCTGAAGCTTTCATCTAAATAGGCAGGTGGAGCTGGTGGCCACTGAGCTGGACAAGGCAGGTCTGGACTCTACAACATTGTTCCCAACCGTGGTTTCACAACAGGATCACCTGGAGAAAGTTACACTCTGCCACCGCCCAGGCTCCTTCCCAGAGCAGTTAAGACTCTAGTAGGTGGGCATAGTTTTAAAACTCCTCCAGTGATTTGAAAAGATTGTTGAGAGCCTCTGATGATTGGTTTACCCCCGAGTATTCACATTTCAAGAACCCGGCAGAGTTTCAGATCCCTTCAACTGACATTCAAGAGCCCTTCTCCGCTCGCTTTTTCCTTAGGAATGACTTCAGGTGTCACCTTGCTTCCCTTTGGAATGGCATTTTTACCCCTTGGGCGAGACCAGGGCCATGCGCATACACAAGTGTTCTGCCTTTGAACGACATTCTGAGCCCAGGAAGAGTTAGTAATATATACATTATTTATGAATCCTAACTTGGTACTAAAAGCACAAATTACAGGAAGAACAGCAACCTCACAACAGACGCCCGAGGAGTAATTCGAGGCGAGAAGGATCCAGGCGTCATTAATGTTTTCTTTTTCTTTTTAAATTATAAAACAACCTCAATTTTTTGTTTTTTGTTTTTAGAGACAGGGTTTCATGTAGCCTAGGCTGGCCTCAAACCCAGCATGTAGCAGAAGATGACCGGAATCCTCCTGCCTCTACCTCTCCAGTACTGGGACCACAGGCATGAGTCAGCTGCCCAGCTCTTTGCTGCTTTAATTGACAAATACAAACTGCACTGTGGCATTCTACTGCGTATGAAGAGCAGTGTTCCTGCTTTAGCTGAAACTCCTCCCCGGCCTCTCAGAAATGCACGGGCCCTCGTCTGCTACCCCACACAATGTGTTTTCATGTGTCTACTCAAAAACTAGTGCTGGATTCAAAGAAGGGAAAACTGTGTAGTCTTTCATGTTCCCTTAGGAAGTCAAGCACGCACTTGAAGTATACGTCTACTCAGTTTCAGGGAATTTTGTTTGTCACCCCAGGGACTGAACCCAGACCCTAACGAATGCTAGCAAGAGCTCTTTACCACTGAGCTACATTACCATAGTTTCACTTTGAATGGGTAGAAGATAAACTATTACTATAAGTTTCCTTTATTATATTCATGCCTCTAAAACATTTTATAATTCCATTATAATCCCGTAAAGTATTTCATTATTTTAAATGACACAGTAAAGCTGGGCGGTGGTGGCTGTGAGTTCAAAGCCAGACTGGTCTACAGAGCGAGATCCAGGACAGGCACCAAAACTACACAGAGAAACCCTGTCTCAAAAAACCAAAAAAAAAATTAAAAAATTAAAAATGATACAATAAGGCACATTTTATCATTAAACAATTTTTGAATTCCTCTTGCAGCTGAGGTTTGCCAAGGTAAATAAGTAAATAAGACTTCTGGAGATTGTCTCTGGTTTTTGTTTTGTTTTCCTTACACAGAGTGTCAGAATTTAGTACTGTCTGGCCTTAAATTTACCATTATCCACCTGCCTCTGCCTCCCGAGCACTGGGAATAAAGGCGTGTGCCACCACGCCTAGCTGAGCATTATTGTTTTTTAAAGAGCATCTTTAAGCACATTTTAATTTTGAAACACACCTTTCATAACAGGCTCCTTAAAAATTCATGTGCAACTCAACCTAAGGAAATATGACAAGTAATTTGTAGGAAACGCAGCTACAGAATGCCGACTCCCACTGTTAACTACGAGCCAATCATGCACTTGAAGCTGGAAGGAACTTTAAGACGGGATCATTTTTCAGTAAGGGTGTCAAAAGCAATCTATACCAGCTTGGCATGGGAGCCGAAACTGATAAGCTGCCTTTCTGACATTAAAACAGCTCCTTTGCAGGCTATCTAAAGCCCTTGGCAGTAATCTAACAAGATCTTAGTTTCGGCACCGGAGTGTCTGCTTTCTCTGGGTGTTCAAAACAGCACTGAATGAAGATGTGGATGTTGGCTCCAACTGCTAGGCACTGGCTGCGAGATGGTTAGAATAATAAGGGGCCCCGGGGAGGGTGTAAGTATTTCCATCCTATTGGAGTAGGGGACTCGACTGTATCGGTAAAGAAGTTGGAACCTCTGGTCATAGAGGCTCGGGACTGCCTAGTGTTTTGTGGGAATGACAAACCTGCATAGGCCAAAAAGGTGATGAGTGCAGCCAGCAGGTGGATGCGAAGCTTGGTTCGGACCTCCTGGAAGTGCAGTAGAGCGCTGTGGAAAATAAAGGAGCAGATGGCCTCTGTGATGATCGCTTTGGACATGTCCGTGTGGATGGGATTCTTGCAAGCTAAGCTCCTCTCGTTGAAGTGGTACTTGGTCAGACTCAGGCTCCACAGGGCGCTTATGCAGTACCTGCTGCATAGGGCGCTAACCAGCTGAGCCAACAACCTCATGGCACCCGTCTCGGGGGACATACCCCCCAGAATCATCTGCATCATCACGCCGCACGGGTTGCTGACTGTGCCCACCAGGGTCAGGCCATGCACCAAGGAGAAGAAGTAGATCAGTGTCAGCGTCCAGGTGGGGTGCGCGGGGTCCTGCTCGCTCAGCAGTTGGAGCTCATGGGTGCAGCAGCAGAGCTGGAAGGTGGCTAGAAACTCCAGGACGAAGGCGTGGGCCGAGGGCCTGTGCAGCTGCTGCCGGGCGATCACGCGGGCCAGCCCCATGAGCAGCACGATCAACAGCATCAGCCCCAGCGAGGTGCAGGTGTCCTGCACCTCGGGCCGGAGCCCCAGTAGCGCGGACATGGCTCCCTTTGGCCAGGGATAGCTGAGGGCGTCAGGGAAAGCCGAGCGTCGGGGGCTGGAGTCCGAAGTCCGCGGCCCCGCCCTCCCACGCCCCTCAGGGCGGGCCGAGCAGAGAGCCCCGGTTCCGCGCTGGAGGGCTCCTCCCCTCCCCGGCTGCGCTGTGGAGATGTGATCGGAGCCGGGGAGGGGGGGAGGCGAGGCGGTGAGGGAGCTGTCCCTGGGTACCGGCGCAGGGGGCAACGGTCAGCAGAGCCCCACGGGTACCCGCCCTCGGCCGCCTCCCTAGCCTGGGACCGCGGCCCGAGACCACTGCGCAGGCGCGCGGCGTGCAAGCTCAGCGCTCCAGGAGACCGGACCCGGAGCCTAAGACCCCGCGGCGCTGCTGGCAGCGCCTGTTGCACCCGGAGCGTGGCTTGGGAACGCCACCTTGAACTTTGCGCACTCCGGAAACTGGACTCCGCGGAGCTCCAAAGGTCATCTCTGCAACCACCCCGTTTTTACTAATAGAGAGGCTGAGGTTGAGGAGCGAGGAGGTGGCCCTCAAGGAAGGAACTGAGAAAGGAACTGAGATTCACTGGGAGTGGGCGTGAGAACCGAGGTTTGACCTGTGCGACAAGGTGTTGGAGCCTTGATTTTCTTCACCTACCCCAAAATTTTTTATAAGTGATGTGTGTGTGTGTGTGTGTGTGTGTGTGTATACACACACATTTTTCGTGTGCAAACGATTGTTAATTATATTCACACTATTATCCAGCTATCATCGGAATTTCCAGACTTTGAATGTTGGGTCTTGTTTTTTTTATTCCATGCATTTGTTTAATTACTTAATTTTATTTGTTTATATATACATTTATATATGTTTACATATAAATACATTTATGGAGGCACTGTACCCCAGTTACTGTGTGGCCCAAGGACTACCTGTTCTCTAGCTCTCTCTCTCCACTGGTGGGTCCCAAGAATCAAATTCAGGTCCTCAGAAAGCACCTTTGCCTGCTGAAGTGTTTGCCTGCAGATAGTGGTTCTCAGGCATGAAGCCCTTTATAATGCCTTTGTGGTCTTCATCGTGAAATAGTAAAATACTTTGAAATCATTTTTTGCTTTTTTGCACTGGCGTCCAGTGTGGGAAGGAAACCCGGAGTAGAACCTTGGAGAGGTCCACTTTGCAGAGTCCTGGGTCACCCTGAGGCAGGATGGAAAGAAGGGAGTTTAAGGGGTCATGGGAAGGGTGCTAGCCTGGAGCTGAAGGCCCCCACCAGCTGAGAGTTAAGAATTCCATCACAATTAACATCTGTTGTGAAGTTAGTCTGTAGAGATATATCAAATACGAATTTTAAGTCCGGGTGGTGGACTTAAAATTTTTTTTTTGAGGCAGGGTTTCTCTGTGTAGCTTTGCTGGAACTCACTCTGTAGCCCAGGCTGGCCTTTAATTCCAGCAATTGGGAGGCAGAGCTAGGCAAATATCTGGGAGTTCGAGGCCAGCCTGGTCTCGACAAAAACCAAAAAATAAAAATAAAATAAATAAAATAAAAATAATTTTAAGATAGTTCTGGAAGTTGCTTTCTGAGACTACCTCCCGGCTTGTGTAGTCTTTGTGACTTCCACCATGGCACACCACGGGCCAGGGCCAGAAAGTAGAGGCCGATGATGGCACAGACGGTCATCCTCATCTTCAGATACTCCAAGAGCAGATCTCAGGTTCCAGTGTGGTTGTAAGCAAGTGACTCTTCGGGTAGAATGTTGTGGTATGGGCTTTGCTGCGTATATGAACCTCGTTTTAAATGATGCAGATGAGATTCACTATAAAACAAAGGCAAGGACTGGACTGGGGTGGATCTTGCTAAAAGGAAATACTACTCTGCTCCAAAGTGTTTCCAACTAGAAATGGTCAAGGACAGGAGGCATTGAGAAGGCATACAGTGTTTTTAAAGGTGTGTTCTGATGGGGACACAGTCTGAAACATTTATTCATATTGTTTTGGGGGCCCTTGTGTTATTATCATGTGATGATAAATTCTGTGAGATTGTTTTTGTTACCCAAAAACAGAATGTTAAAATGTGGATGCACCATACTTAAGAACTAAGCAAATAACAACTGTGGTGGGTGACTGTTTGAGCCATGCCCGGAAGCACTGCCCCTAGTGAGGTAGCAGGTAGCTGTTACATCTGCCTATGAACTTGAGGTACATGCCCCTGGGGCGTGGCCGCTGGGGGACCCTTAAGACCTGGGATGCTGCTACACACTCTCTCTTTTTGCTACCTTGTGGTTTTGGGTGCTGAGATCTTGGACCAGGCAGATCAGCGTGGGAGATAGCTCAACTTTCCGGGACCCTACGATAAATCTCCTGTGGTTGTGAGTTAATCCCCCAAAAATTCCCTTGCTCATTAAATAGACTCCGTGGATTAATCCCATTATACAACCTTCCTCCTTCCCTAGCTGTAAACCTACAATTTTCCAGTTATCTCATGAGAAACTCCATCTAGTGAAAGACATATCTTAGCTCCCTTGCATACATAGCCTTTGTGACCCAGGGTTTTACCTCATCAGATTGCAATCCTATCCACGACATCTTATGAACCACTCTATAATCATATTTTAAAATGGGTGTGTGTGAGTGTGTGTGTGTGTTAGGAAGGAACCCTTCCTTACACTTGGAGAATGGAATTCCAAAAGCCTCTAAATCACCATACAGTTGTGACTGAGCCACTTAATTACAGTTCCTGAGAAGTGCAGACCCACACGTGGTCGGCCGCCGTCCTCCCCCTGAGTGCCTTTCTCCTGATGCCTGAACTTAAGTCTGCGTAAACAAAATCTCTCCTTCACAAACTCCAACTCTCTTCACACCAACTCATCCTGAAATTCTTTTCTGCATTGAAAAATCCTGGATTTCGGGCGGTGGTGGGGCACGTCTTTAATCCCAGCATTCGGGAGGCAGAGGCAGGTGGATCTCTGTTAGTTCGAGGCCAGCCTGGACTACAGAGAGTTCCAGGAAAGGCGCAAAGCTACACAGAGAAACCCTATCTTGAAAAAAAAAAAAAAGAAAGAAAGAAAGAAAGAAAGAAAGAAAGAAAGAAAGAAAGAAAGAAAGAAAAATCCTGGATTTGAGGCTGTGTGGTAGCACACACGTTAATCTTAGCCAAAGCAGGCAGAGCTCTGTGAGTTCAAGGGCAACCTGGTCTTCATGGAGAAACCCGGCATCACCCCCAA